CAATAGTCTTAAAATTATTTATATCAACATCTTCATAAATAGGTAAATTGTTCCATGCTACTATTGTCCTTGGATAAAAGGAAAACTTATAGACATCATCAGAAGCATATGACATCATTTGATACACGGATTTGTTGGAAAGGACGACTGTTCAGTAATCTGGTGGCCCTTGTTATTTCGTGGACTTAAGCAGGAAAGCTAATACCAACATGTCCCATTAAGATCTTGTAGAACATAGTAGTTTGAAAGAGGAGTCGACGATCTTCAAGTGAGTCCCAACCAAGATGTTCGATCATTGGAGTAACATGACTAAATCTTGAATAGATATCAACGCATTCGCTAGCCTACAGCGTAGTATATATTTCACGACTAAGATAAAGAGCCGCTGCATCTCTTTCACGTTATAATCGAATTGGGAGCCTTCAGTTCAACCACCTGTCGCACTAAACATATATGTTGAAGAGGTCAAAATACAGTTGGGGAAGATAAAAATTCTTAAACAAACTGTGACAAAAATCCTTCACGCATTTAAATAAGAAATTCAAGTTAGGTAAGTGCTGAAGTCGTCCTTGGCAACGTGTTCATTGGCACCATACCGTTAACCCGATGTAGTCAAATAAGGATGCCATAGTGCTATCCCTGGCGTGGAAGCGTGATAGTTTGCTGTACTAGAGTCAACCTCCTCCCCAGGGCCTTCTCCACTTTTCAAAATGGCGTCCCGACGAGCCGCAACCTCTTCCCCAGGGCCTTCTCCACTCTTCAAAATGGCGGGACGGGAGAAACTCGTCGAGGAGAAGGCCCTGGGGACGAGGTTGACGAGCCGCCATTTGGAAAATCGTCGAGGAGAAGACCCTGAGGACGAGGTTGGGACTACAATTGATCCTAGTCAGCGGTCCGGGTTAAGCCCTGACCTGAGCCCTGATCATTTTACTTTCATAGTGCCTCTTTCCATATCAATGAATACCATTCAGTAATTTATTTATTTTCCTCTTGTTTTTAGTGACACTGAGAGAGCTTTGCCGATAAAGGTATAGCTGACGAGTTAATGAAAACTGATTAGAAATATTGGGGAAATGGGGAATGTATTTTAAAGCTTTTTAGATCATCTCAGGGCTAGTATGTGTTGCCCGAAGCACAAATAATAGAGATCAACAATGGTTTGGAGAGACTCAGTTGTCAGATTATAACTTCTCTCACACTTTCACGGTTTTCTACATGTTTGAAGGCATACAAGTTGTCCAATAGATGATAGAGTCTGAACGATGGACAGCACTAAAGCCTTCTGTTGTCATATCAGTCCCAATCTTTTTTGAGCTTAGTGATAACTGATTTTCTCAAGCCAGAAAAATTGGACAAACTGTTTTCCAATTCAGTAGCGATGTGTACCGCCTTATCAGCTGACTCCTCCCTGTACATTTGAGGTTGAGTGTCCAATTTTCGCTGGTCTGACGCTGCGGATGATGATGGATGTTTATTAAGGGAAATATCCACCCCTCCTGATTCACTACTTAGCGTTGTTTCGTCTTTTGTAACGTGCATTTTAAGTTTCCCCGCATCACCACTTACGTGAAATCCTCCATATTTAACATCAGATTTTTTACTTCCTGAAACATTCTTGGCTTTATATTGAGTAGACTTCCTTTCAAAACATTTTCTTCGCTTTTCGGGGAAAAATGAACAGCCTTCCCTCGGAAAAAATTTTTTAAGTTTCTGTCCCGACATTGATCTTTCTGCATTCTTTGAATAAAGTCTTTTCCCTATTATAAGTGCCTTCCTTGGTTTGTTTGCCACTGAGTTCTTCGTTTGCCTCGTTAAAGGCTTCGTTCTCTTGAAAATCGCAGATTTACGAATGCTTATGGAACTCCATCCTGGCTGAGTTACATGTACTACGGGCTTGTCCGATTTGAGGACGGGATAATCCGCTGTTCCAGGCTTAACCACTACTTGAACGGAGTCTGCTTGAGCGATTACCTTCGCTTGGTCCTTAGTTGCTGTAATTTTCATCTCCCCTGACTTGTCCTCAACTTGAAAATGCGCCTTCTGGCCTGCGCTTTCAGCAGCCAGAGCTGTAGGCATCCAAAGCGATTGCAAGATAAAACAAGAAGTGAACAGAACACAACTGACTAACTGCTTATTGCTACCGTAAAAAGGGTATTTTCTAGAGACGATTGCCATCTTGGCAGGCAAAATCAAAAAGCTAAACGCCTCTCACTCAATCGCTATTGTTTTCTTTAACCTTGATTAGTGTTATTAAATAATTTATTAGAACATTCTATGTTCATTTAGACGAAAACCCCCATCGGAAGAACTCCATGATGACCTCGAACTTTACTTGAATTTCAAAGCACCACTGAGTGAATTTATCAGCACTTTTTCATCAACACTCAAATAAAAAAAGTAAAATTAAAGTCAATGTCTTGTATTCAGACGCGTCCCACCAGCGGTTTTTTGTCGGGTGGTTAATATGTGCCTGTTCGTTAAAGACCCGTAGATCGTTTCAAATGGCATATTTTCCAGCAACTGACTTTTTGCTTCCTTAGCAAAGGTTTTTATTTTCGATTTTGGCTTGAAAATTGTGATTTTATTTTTTGTTTAGTGATGGTGCTAATTAAAGTTTGGAAAACATGTTTCTAATGTTTATTTTCTTTAGTTAATCAAATGATGTAATTACAAATTAAACTAAGCGGAACACTAGACTGTTTCTTTGTTTTATTTTCAGCATGTTAGAGTGGTAACGATGGTAAACGATGAACCTCAAAATATCATTTCCTGAGATTTTAGAGCCATTAGACGTTGAAAACACTAAAAAAGACAATTGTGACCCAAGGGGGCTTATTCAGTATCTTGTTCAATATTAATTTAATGAGCAGGTTGTTTATGGATGCCAGTAGTCCTTTACCCCTCCTCCATTGTTTTCAGAACCTGTTCGTGACTTAAATACCCATCATGGCGGCTTTACCTCTTGTGGGTTCTTCGAAAATTTCGCTCCTGGCTGTTTACTGTTTTGTTATTGTCGCCACGAGAAACATATCATCGATTAAATGTTCCCCAGTTCCACAAGATTCTGGAGAGTTTCAAAAACCACACTTCCAGGTAATGAAGGACTTTTCTGACACTTCGATTTTGTGGCTCGAGAGTTAGAGAGATCGGTGTTGATTGCACTTTCGATTGTTATTTATGGATTTTTCAGAGTTTTTGATTTAACTTTCTCATCATCAAATCATTTGACCAGCTTACGGATGCTCACTTGTTTCGATATTTCTGCCAGTTTTTAAGTAAAACTTTGTTTTAGTTAATTAGTTACGGCTAGCTCCGGGACTGAGTGGTTAAATGATTTCTCCTCGGTTGCCTAAAAGGTAGCCAAGGCATAATAAGACAATTCTGGACACGAAATTGAAGAGAGAAAGAAAGCGCCACGTAGGAACTTATCGTAGTTTGCCATCGCTTGTAGCGTTACTGTTGCACGCGGCTTTATAAAAGAAGCTTGTAAACTGAAATCTTTGGAACTTCATCGTCATTTGATCTTTGACCCCTACCTCACCAAAATCAACTGAAATTGGATCAAAAATCAAATCGCCGCACATGCGCAAAAGAGTGCAACAAGCCTTTCAAATATTGCAGATTCAAGTTAGGTTTTCGTTATTTGAATTTTAACATACTCTTTACACATTTACCTGAGAATTGGCGGACGCTGAGTCAGACGACGCGATATTCCTGTGATCCGCATGAGCTGTGCACAAATGTCTAAAAACGTGTGATCTATCTTTAAGCCCTTTGATACTCTAAACAGGTAAATATTTTGTAGTTTAACCTCTACGATGTGATCTTGTTATGTAAATTAAACCACAAATCAACAAATGGAAAATGATTTAGTAGATTGGCCTCAGTGGATAATGAACAAAAGAGAACGTAACTGGTCAGAATTCTCTTCTTGTATTAATCTCTTATCAGGTGGAACACAAGGCCGGTGTTCTGACAATCATGGCCACAAAAGATAAAGCTGATGTTGATGTTAAGTCCGACACGATTCGTTTGCTGGTCAAACCAGGAGATAAACAAGTTCCCGTTGCTAAAGTACCCGAAGTCAAGACAGTTCACGTGGAATCAAATTTACCACAGATTCACGCCCTGTGACTCTATGAAAGGAAATGCTGAACATGACTTAAAGGTCAAGTGAGCTCAAACATAACCCAACCACCGAATCTACTATCTCTATTATCTCTACTATCTCCTCTGTTGGGAAGTATTTCACTCTGAACAAACACTCACAGGGTACTGCTAAGTACTTGCCTGGATTTCAATGCCAAGCTTGTGTTTGTAAGACTTTTCTCTGCAAAATCCGAATTAGTTGTCAGTTATTTAGTTTTTCCGGTTCTCCTACAAGAGTTAACGGACAAAGGCTTATTGTAATACCATTGAAATTCGTCTTTTCGTCATGGAGACTTAAGAGAAAGGAAATGGCCGCGTGAAAACTGGTAGCCCGAAAGGTGCTGGTTGTACAGATGTTCCACCCAGCCAATTGCTTCTTGTCAGGTCTTGTCGAGGGGGGGGGGGNTCTGTTTGGTTTCTCAATGGAATTTTGTATTACCTCTTTAGATCGAATAATCTTGAATCCTGGAATAAATTATACGATTGGCGTAGCCCAATTAGATTGTCTGCTTGGTTTTTTACGGAATCAAGGGGGAAGGCGAAAGAAAAGGATGGAAATATAACACCTCTTACTGCAAGTTTCCAAAGAGACACGTGACTCGTGATTTCAATAAACAAAACTTCCAAGAAAAATGCCAATAAAGAAAAACAAGCTAAGGTCCATTCAGGGGCGGGCGAGAACACTCAAGACATTTTCGTATCTCAATCAGGCATCCCACAAAATTTCACATTAATTCTAAAAAAATGCGCCAAAATGGTTTAGGGCTCTTTTCGGCAAGGCATTCAAACTACGTTTCAAGCAGGCGTGAGTTATTCGGTCTTAATTTATTTGAACCGACAGTATCATAGTATTTCACGAGAAGCCGCTTTTAAGCAAATTTCATTTAATGAGGTTACATTTTAATGAAAGACACCTGTTCAACCATGAGAACTGATGTTATGGGACCTAACCAAGTTCAGCCAGTTTTATTCCTAGCTGAGTCTTCCGGGGATCTTTGGGGCTTCTCTTCCGTTATCATGTTACTACACGCACTGACTTAAAATCAATAGTCGAGACTGAACAAAACAAAGCTTCTTTATTATAACATTTTTACTCAAGACTAACAAAATAACACGTTACGGGTTTACAGCATGGAAGCATTGCTGACAAGACCACGATCCATGATTTTCGCATCTCCACATAGTAAAGTCTCGCTGAAACAGAGTTAAGCAATAAGTTAGATGTTTAGCTCGATTGCCAGCCGCTGTTCAGGAAAGGAGCCCGCGCTCTTCTCACGTAGAGGAATGATACAAGACTCGAGAGAGCGGATGGAACTAACATTGTCTAATTAAGAAGTATAAGGGACCATTTTCTCTAGCAAAGTATTATAGGTTAAAATTATGCTAATACTGACTCAGTTGTGCTCAGAGCAGGGCTAGACATATTAACCATGCTCAGGTAATGGGAGAACTCTAAAGTCCATGTATAATTATGACTTTCGTCTGCGGGTCAGGTTTGCACAAAAATCTCAATTTCCTCATTTATGCGGCGTGTTTTGTAAGCCGTCGCTTGTTTTATATTTAAGTTATAATTCACAGTAGTATCAGATATAAAACGACAATTTTAGCTTTCTTTCACAGAGAAGTACATAATGCAAAAGAGCAGATAATGTAAAGAAGTATATAATGTTAAAAGTGTACATCTCTTATGACGACGCGCTCTAACAGATTTGTGAGTAGGTTATTTTTAGACCTAAATTTCGCGGAGAAAACATGACATGGATATTGCCAAGCTCCGTCCAAACTACGACGGAGAAATTTGAGAAAGCAGCTTCATCTCTACAGTTAGGTCTACCGTTCCACACAACTCCAGAGAAATTGTCCACTGGATACGAAACTTTTCGAAAATGCTCTTCAAACCGGAGGAATTTGAAAACGCTGCATGGCTCTGCGTTCTAGTGTGGACGGAAAACATTTTGAAAACGGAGCTTTTTGAAAACGACAACGTTACGATAATCATAATCACGATAATCCTCAAGGTTACACACTGAGGTGTTTCTGTCGCCAGTGACTGATTGTTGTTTTTTCAAATTTTTCCGGCGTAAGGGGACGGGGCCTTACTTTGTGGCAAAATGATGCAGCGCCTCATCAAAGAAGAAAACTCACAGGCTGAGAAACATGGTACAGGGGGTTGTGGACATAAATTTCCTCTCTAACCGGTAGAGTCGCAGCTACAAATGTGTTAAGTTCAACCAGAGGTGATACTTGACTAGCTGGTATCAGTTCTGGCATCCGATGAGGAGTCTGAAGGTGACGTTGCTCGGGCACAGCTTGGGATAAAGGCGAGAACTGGTTCTCTCTCGAGCAGTTTGCTGACTGAAGTTTTGCCTCAGGCTTGTTGACTGCGGTCTTGAAACCTAATGGAGAGACTGCTGGGGTTGAGTTGCTCAGCGCTAGAAGAGCATGAGCCGCGTCAATTTCTTCTTGGGAATATTTCTGTTTGGAGCACAAAGCAATCGATAATTACAATACGCATAATTAGACTGATAAGCACAAACTAACTATCATGTAAATGCGCCATCCGATTGACTACATATGGGTTGTCTAATATAATTATCTATAAAAGTCTATAAAGCAAACATGTTATTTTTCTTTCAGAAAAGCATGTTCGTTGATTTTCAGTTTCCCAGTGCCGTCTACTGAACGTTAGATGGCACTGTGTAGCCAATCAGATTACGCGTTTACCCGATAGCTGACAGTGGGTTGTGTTAACGATTGGCACCAGGCGTGCTCAATGTTTGAAAATGGCTTCAGCTTTGTGTTTTCGTCAAGTTTCTGAATTGTACTTCTTTTCTTTCTATCAGAATTAAACCGTGAAAACTGTGTCCGTGTCCATATGGTTTCCGTATGAACTGTATTAGACATTTTCTAGGAAGCTTTTGTTAAGCCTAAACCCAACTGAATAAGTAGGAACTTTATTTAAGTGTCAATGTATTGAGCCCATGTGGGCTAATTGGGGAATAATATCGCGTTTATAATTATATCGCGTTTGGTCAGTTACAACAAACGCCAGTCAAAAGACATGTGACTGATGCAAAGCGCGAGAAAATGAACGCATGTTAAAAGTCATCATATGTTCTATTTGTTGGTTTAGACTGTACGTAATAATTCACATGGCAAGTTAAGCCGGAAATCATATCTCTTGAAACAAGCATACTACTGTGAATAACATTCTACATGGTTTTCTTTTGAGGGATAACCCTTACTCTTGTCCCTACCTGTTGAATTATACGATCTGGATTGTTTTGCTTTAACTGATTGGCCGAGATTGAAGCTCTGTCGCTGACAGATTCCATTGTTTATTTTAAAGTTAATCAGTTAGTCGGCTCTCTGAAAAACAAACAAAAACTGAATAAACAACAAAAAAACAGAGTTTAACTTGTTTCAATGCAGAAACGATATGCCAGTTTCTTGGAGATTATATCCGGTATAGACAAATGGATTCTTTGTCATTAAAGATGTGTACATTATTCATCGTGGATAGATGAATTTTTCTCTCGTTTGTCTCACGATGGAGTCACTTTGAGATGTAGATCTCCATCGTGAGAGGAACGAGAGAAAAATTCATCTACCCTAAATGGATTCTTTGTTTCAAACCATGAAATAAGCAAATATATTTTTGGTGATCTTTTTCTCGTAAGTAAGACAGCTCACCTTAGAGAATGTGTGTTCTTGGAAAAGAAGCCTACCGTCTGTATCCACAGCTTGAAAGTTTGACTTCGTTACTTGGAACCATGGAAACAATGACATCATAAAGGATAAGAATGCCATTAAGATAGAACGCACTGGCTTTCGTGCGCGCGCAGTCGAGTTGAGTTGCAAGTAGCTCTGTGAGGCGTCATGTTCGCAAGTTACCCGTGTAAATGATCACTTTTGCGCTGTTCAGCTTAACATTTGCACTTTTTTTCGCGAATTAGAGTACAAATTTTGATACGGTAACTAAGGGCGCCCGTGGGGTTTTACTTTTGGAGGGGGAAGGGTGTCACCGGGAATTTTAAGGTAACAAGTGGTGACAGAGCTTCTAACAGATTCATTGGTAATTCAGTCAGTCAGTCAGTCAGTCAGAGTCAGTCAGAATTTCCTGGTGTGTTACCCATTACGCAGTGATACTAGAAATAATTGACAATTTTCTTGGGTTTAGGCTTCAAGGTTTGGAACGTCATTTCTGTGTCATCACGGCTTTTGGTTTTAGCAAATAATCAAATGGCAAATGACTGATTTTTGTCATGTTATTCTTCTCGATAAAGAACTTGACTTACCTGTTTAGAGAGTTTTACTTCCCACAGTCTTGCCATGGTATAACTAATTCCGTTTGACAAAGTTTTTGTGAAAAAAGTGAGAACAGAACGAAATTCTAAAAGATATATAATTGCTCGATGGATATTATAACTTGGGTGTGAATAGGTTTCATACTGCCTTGATCTTACTGTATGGTTACCGTATTCGAAATTAGCCTTATTAGGCTCATTTCGTCCCGACTGGGTCTTGTCAGAATACGAACCAAACTCGGTTTGACCAGACTCTCACTTATATCCCCGCGAACTAAAAAAGATACGATTACAAGGTAAGTGTTGCCTCACCCAAATTAGCCTGCAAGCGGGCTCAGCTTTGAGTCACACGCGCGAGCGGCGAAGAGCAAAGCGATCCGACGGGAAGGAGTCTGGTGAAGAGGCGCCCAGAAAGTCACTTTCTCATCTCGCGGCTTCGCCGCTTGATTTCGCGCACGCGGCTACGCCGCGCGCGCTTGTGCTCCAACATGAGCCTGCTCGCAGGCTACACTCAAATTCAGCCCAGTCTTGATGTATTTGTCGAAAGAGGACCGAAGCGCTATTCCTTGAGGAGTTTCCATAGATACATAAGAAAAACAAAAGTAGTTTTTTAGAAACATGGAATAATTCTGCGAGCCGTTTACTTTAAACACGCAGTTCGTTCAGGCAGTTCGCTCGTCGCACGCTCGTACATGTCGTACGTGAGCAACAGAGGGCGCACAACGTGGTAAGCGGTTGAAATCTGGAGAGTGGTGGGAACGTCATGTATGGGGACATATATTGTACCGAAAAATATGTTTCATAAATGCTTGTCTTGCTTGACATGCTTTCCTTACTTGAGGTGCTTGACTTACTTAAGGTAATTCCCCTGAAATAAAACTGCACATAGATTTTTGTTCAAACTTTGTCCAATGAATATTTATCANAATACGCCTCAAACTACAGTCAATACTTGTGTCGGACACAAATAAACTTTTTAAGTTTGATTTTGACAGACAGCTGAATCTTTGTTAAAATATTGCAACCAAATTGCTTGCCACGGCTATCAAACTACAAAATAGAAAAGACCACGGTGCAGCTGTTATTTTCCTTATTTATTCAATTTTCAACAATAGATATCAGATCAGCCAGTTTTTACACAAAGCTAATGATTAGTTGATTAAAATGACTGGAAAAAAATTTGGGGTGCCCGATCTCGTTAGTGAGCTATAGCCATTTTTCAACTGACAGAGCTCAATATCAAGGCAAATCTGCCATGTTTTCAATGTGCGCGTACACGAATGCGCGCTAATGACGCCATAAATTATGCGCAGTAACGATGCGCAATGCAATACTAGGGAATGACCTTAAGGTGCTTCAGTTACTTGAGGTGCTTTGCTTACTTGAGGTGCTTTGCTTACTTGAGGTGCTTTCCTTACTTGAGGTGTGCTCTTTACTTGGGGTGCTTTCCTTACTTGGGGTGCTTTGCTTACTTGTGGTGCTTTGCCATCTTGAAGTTCTTGACGTACTAAGGTTACTTGAAATGCTTGACTTACTTGACATGTTTGACTTACTTGAGATGCTTGTCTTACTTGAGATGCTTGACTTACTTGAGATGCTTGTCTTACTTGAGATGCTTGAGTTACTTGAGGTGCTTTGCTTACTTGAGGATCTTTGATTTTTCTAAGGTTACTTGACATGCTTGACTTAGTTGAGATGCTTGTCTTACTTGAGATGCTTGTCTTACTTGAGATGCTTGACTTACTTGAGGTGCTTTGCTTACTTGAGGATGTTTGCTTTCTTGAGGTGCTTTCCTTACTTGACGTGCTTTGCCTACTTGAGGTGCTTTGCTTACTTGAATTGCTTGACTTACTTGAGATACTTGACTTACTTGAGGTGGTTTCCTTACTTGAGGTGCTTTCCTTACGTAGGGTGCTTTGCTTGCTTGAGGTTCTTGGCCTACTTGAGGTTCTTAACGTACTTTACGTTACATGAATTGCTGACTTACTTGAGATGCTTGAGGATCTTTTCGTTCTAGAGGCTCTTGACGTACTTGAGATGCTTGACTTACTTGTTGCGGTTTGCCTACTTCAGGTGCTTTCCTTACTTGAGGTGCTTTGCTTGCTTGAGGTTCTTTGCTTACTTTAGGTGCTTTGCTTACTTGAGATGCTTTGCTTACTTGAGGTGCTTTGCTTAAACGAGATACTTTGATTACTTGAGATTCTTTGCTTACTTGGGGTGCTTTGATTACTTGAGATGCTTTTCTTACTTGAGATGCTTTGCTTACTTTAGGTGCTTTGCTTACTTGAGATACTTTGCTTACTTGAGGTGCTTTGATTACTTCAGGCGCTTTGCTCACTTGAGGTACTTTACCTACTTGAGATGCTTTGCTTACTTGAGGTGCTTTCCTTACTTGAGGTGCTTTGCTTGCTTGAGGTGCTTTCCTTACTTTAGGTGATTTGCTTACTTGAGATGCTTGCTTACTTGAGGTGCTTTGCTTACTTGAGGTGCTTTGATTACTTGAGATGCTTTGCTTACTTGGGTGCTTTGATTACTTCAGGTGCTTTACTTACTTTAGGTGCTTTGCTTACTTGAGATACTTTGCTTACTTGAGGTGCTTTGATTACTTCAGGCGCTTTGCTCACTTGAGGTACTTTGCCTACTTGAGATGCTTTGCTTACTTGAGGTGCTTTCCTTACTTGAGGTGCTTTGCTTGCTTGAGGTGCTTTCCTTACTTTAGGTGATTTACTTACTTGAGATGCTTGCTTACTTGAGGTGCTTTGCTTACTTGAGGTGCTTTGATTACTTGAGATGCTTTGCTTACTTGAGGTGCTTTGATTACTTCAGGTGCTTTGCTTACTTTAGGTGCTTTGCTTACTTGAGATGCTTTGCTTACTTGAGGTGCTTTGATTACTTCAGGCGCTTTGCTTACTTGAGGTACTTTGCCTACTTGAGATGCTTGCTTACTTGAGATGCATCATTAAACTACAAAGTTCTTCAAGAAAAGCTTCTGAATTTGTTAAATACAACAAAACACCTCTTGATTTCTCGTTATTAATTTTTTCGTAGAGCAGCATTGTTTTATAAACCATTTTTTTTTATGTGCGCCTATCGTTTTAATAATACTGGGGATTTTCAGTCATCTTCCTTTACCAGAATGCCATTAAAAATTTCCTCCACTTTCTCAAAAAGCCGAAAACTCCTGATAGCGAGAAGTTACACATGTTGTTCGGTTTTTTGACTGATGATGGATTTCAAAGTGTTCTGGGGCTTTGCACAAGCGCCTAACGTAAGTCAAGCATCTCAGGTTAGGGAAGCATCTCAAGTAAGACAAGCACCTCAAGTAACACAAGTATCTCAAGTGAGACAAGCACCTCAAGTAAGTCAAGCATCTCAGGTAAGTCAAGCATCTCAGGTAAGTCAAGCATCACAAGTAAGACAAGCATCACAAGTAAGACAAGCATCTCAAGTAAGACAAAAATCTCAAGTAAGTTAAGCACCTCAAGTAAGACAAGCATCACAAGGAAGTCAAGCGTCTCAAGTAACTCAAGCAGCTCAAGTAAGACAAGCATCTCAAGTAGGGAAGGCACCTCAAGTGAGGAAAGCACCTCAAGTAAGCTAAGCACCTCAAGTGAGGAAAGTACCTCAAGTAAGACAAGCATCTCAAGTAGGGAAAGCACCTCAAGTAAGCAAAGCACCTCAAGTAAACTAAGCACCTCAAGTGAGGAAAGTACCTCAAGTAAGTAAAGCACCTCAAGTAAGGAAAGCACCTCAAGTGAGGAAAGCACCCCAAGTAAGCAAAGTACCTCAAGTAAGCAAAGCACCTCAAGTAAGGAAAGCATATCAAGTAAGCAAAGCACCTCGAGTAGGCAAAGCATCTCAAGTGAGCAAAGCACCTCAAGTAAACAAAGCACCTTAAGTGAGGAAAGCATCTCAAGTGAGGAAAGCACCTCAAGTAAGCAAAATACCTCAAGTAAGGAAAGCACCTCAAGTGAGGAAAGCACCTCAAGTGAGCAAAGTACTTCAAGTAAGGAAAGCATATCAAGTAAGCAAAGCACCTCAAGTAGGCAAAGCATCTCAAGCAAGCAAAGCACCTTAAGTGAGGAAAGCACCTCAAGTGAGGAAAGCAGCTCAAGTAAGCAAAGTGCCTCAGGAAAAGAAAGCAACTCAAGTGAGGAAAGCATCTCAAGTAAGCAAAGCACCTTGAGTAAGCAAAGCATCTCGAGTAAGCAAAGCACCTCAAGTATGCAAAGCATGTCAAATAAGCAAAGCACCTCGAGTAAGCAAAGCGCCTCCAGTACGTCAAGCAACTCAAATAAGGAAAGCATCTCAAGTAAGCAAAGCACCTCAAGTAAGCAAAACAGCTCTAGTAAGCAAAGCACCCCAAGTAAGCAAAGCCATCTCAAGTAAGCAAAGCACCTGAAGTAAGGAAAACACCTCAAGTAAGCATAGCATCTCAAGCAAGGAAAGCACCTCAAGTAAGCAAAGCACCTCAAGTAAGCATCGAGACATATATTTCGGTACAAGATATGTCCCCATACATGACGTACTTCCTGGAGAGTTGTTTTCAAGATGGCGATGGCAACAGTTTTAGGAATCATGTGCTCTTTGCATGTACTCTTTGCTCTGTAAAGTCAGAATTTGTTCAGTAACAGTCGAAATAATGAAAACTAGGGCGTTAATTCTGGTATTTACCTTTGTGTCCAATTATATCGTATTGTTAGCCAATGGAGGTAAGCTGAGAGATTTTCTTAATAGTTAAGCTTATAGCCCATAACTGTAGCTTCTTAAAACCGTAAGAGAAACTGAAGTAGTAAGCAATAACTAAGGGAGGCGTTTGGATGAGAAGGCAGATTTGTGAACTGGTTGTCTTAATATTTCAATCACGTTTGTACATTTTGCATGTACAAAACAAGCCAATGGCATATTATACTTGAGCTTAGATGTAAGATTACTTATTTACGTAATAAAAATGTATAGCGTAAATCACAAGTCATATTTGTGGATGAAAAACTTAGTTCAAGGATCCCTGTTAATCAAATCGTGTGTCTTCAGAACCACTTTTTGCTTATGGAATGGTCTCACCAGGCTGTCCAGCTAGGAGGGACAGGCAGCTCTGGCGACAGGAATGCAGCTCCCAGTGCAAACATCTCATTTTAATCTTTTGTAACACTTTGCATAATACCAATAGGCATTATACTCCTTGGAAAGTTGAGATGATAATAGCATAAATTTATTCTACTTAATATGTTAACAACTTTAATTTTGAAACAGAGAATTTTATTGTTTTATGCTACATAAGAAAACAATTATGGACATTGTAAAGTTAAGATGTCTTTTTATCATTTTCTTCTTACTTTCCAATTCTAGGGGAAGTAAATATAAACCTTGTAGAATTCCAGGATGGTATACTGAGTGTGCCAGAGAATCAGGAGCAAGGACAGATTCAAGTTGATCTCACAGAAGCAGTGAACTCCGAACCAGTAAGCTTTACCCTTTTTAGCTAATGATAATACTGTAGAATGTATTGGGTTGGTCCAGAAAATATCCATACCCATACCACAGGTTTCATCTCAGGATTCTTGAGGGAATGGGGATTCTATAGACAGGAGTCTTTATGGCTGTGAGCTAGCTGGTATTGCTACTTTACTCGCCCAGAACCTGAGAGCTCTAGCCCTGTGAGTACACATTTGTTATGTGAGACAGTCTTATGCTTAAATACACACACACAGACCAAAAAATTGAAACTTACAAAATATCAACATCCATTTAATGCACTTCTGAATTTTGAGTACCGCCATTCATTTCAATGCTTGAAATAAATTTTCTTTTGAAAACGCAACAGTGTAAGTCATACAAACATCAGCTTTCAATGTGAGAATTGTTAGCTGCATTGCACATGCTCAGTTCAGCTACTTCTTCACCAAGTTAACTCCCAGTGAAGTAGCACTTTCCACCCTCTTACAATTTTGTAAAGTATGCCCTGCAACATGTCACCTGCAAGAGTTATGTAACAGCAAAGGCATTTCACAAAAGAAAGGCCCGATGAATGCAAAGTGCAACCGCCAAAAAGCACTTTTCTCGCAAAAGAAAAAGATGCGAGGTAATTGACAAAAAAGGGTTTTTAAAGGTAATATTCAACTCACAAAGAATAATTCATTTTTATTGGAGGTTGAGGTGTGTCTTTTTTGTTTTTCAATTTTGTACTTGACACACTTAAAGAAGCTGGGTATTCCTTTCAAAGTAGATGGGTGCTGGTACCCAGGTCTCGGCTTCTAATAACAGCCCTGCAACCAAGAGGTACTCTAATAACTTGAGAATGTGACTCATTGCTGAAGGCTTCTGCTTTAGCACAAGTGACTAAACATCCACTAATGGATTTGTTCTCAGTGAAAGCACAAAAAGCTTCAGCAAAATCCACTCTGCAGGAATTGCTTCCTTTCCTCTGGCAGAAAGAAGTGATCCAGGTGTTCACAAACAAGTTCCTTTATTTCATCGTTTCCAAATGTTCCCAATTCTTGAGACCCAAGTGGCCATTTGTGAAAGTCAAACACTGTCATTAGAGACAGTGGCTCCTCCTTCAAGTTGCGAGACTAGGGCCGGGTTGTTCGAAAGCCGGTTAACGCTAACCCAGGTTTAAAAGTTAACAGCAGTATTCATTTTTCTTTTATAAAAATGTTTTTCACTGCTTTTGTTCTGTATAGTGGATTGTGTTCTCAATGAGTTCTCTTGTGGTTTGGTCATCACAGTAACTCACAAAGTTTTCCTGATTGCCAGTCAGCTCTATGTCTCCAAATTTTCTTTCACTAAGATTGAGTTTTCCTGAAATTCTTTCATGTTCATTGCTGGATGAAGTTTCAGGGCAGACAGCTCAATGACTGCTCTTTCAACAACATCTTGAATCTTAAAGATATAGTAAGAAATTCTTCTTTCCGGAAAATTTTTGAAAGCCTTGCAATGACTGGCAAGAAATAAAGCAAAAATACAACATCTTGATGAAGCTGACTGATGTGATCTCTATGTGGTAGCCTTTTGCTCGATTTGAATCTTCTGCCCTTGTTCCCTCAGTGTGGCGATGTTCAACATGCAGTACCACAGTAGCCAGATTTCTTTTCAGTGCAGAAACAGCACATTCCTTGCTTGCCAGCCATCCAACCTGTTTCACTACACTGAAATGAGCAAGTTTGGTTTCAAAAAGATGGTTGATTTCCTTTAATTCCCTTTGGCATTTAGGAGAGAAATGATGATAATTAAATATTCCCTTCAGTGTGTTCTCAAATTTTGCCATTGTGTGGATCCAGATAATATCCATACCCCCCCCCCC